CCTAGACGGGTGTGCGGAACTGGTTGCAGTTGATTTCCCTATTTCAGAAAACGCCGAGATGAGCTGGTTGCGGTTCTTTGCCCAATTTCAGAAACCGCCCAACTGTTGTCTTGCCCTCCCACAAACCAAGAAAAAGAATAATATTTTAGGAAATGGTCCAAACCAGAACCCCTCAGTCCGGTTCCGGCGTAGAGGCTATGGCTTCCAAAATGCCCAGCCGTCCAAACCAAGAAGGAACCGGTTTTCACGTAGGCGCCCATGGCTCATTGAACAAAGAGCTAATGGGGAACTCCTCGTCAAAGATTCATTTCATTTACTATCATTAAACAATCTAATAGCACCTTCACCACATGAGTATGAAACAATGTCAACATTCCCACCAACAAATGGTTTCAACAAAACGTTGAGTCAAACAACACCTGAGAAGTGGAATTCTGCATACAAAAGCTCGAATCTCGAATAAAACACCCAGACCCGAAGATTCTGTTGGGAGCAGGGCAAGTGGTCCTCGAAGTAAGCATTGTAGGAGCCTGGCGCTCAGGAGCTCAGGCGCTCATATGTTCGGGTGCGCGAGTGAGATCTTGGAGTCGGAGTGGTAAATGGATGGCAGAAATGCCAAAACCAGTGGAATCTGGGTATGGGTCAAAATATTGAAGCACCGGCAAGCCGCAAAAATATCTGTTATCTTTAGTCCATGTGTCCATTCAGAGTTCCATTTTAAAGGTACTTATTTTTGACCCCCATCCATATTGATGGATTCAGATTGAACTGGAGTCGCCCCAAAAGAACCCCCGTCACCCCGAAGAATTCACCCCATGGCCAAAATGGGTCTCCGGGCTTGGGGAAAAATAGGGTTCTTGGAGTTCCTAAACTTAAAAGTTGATGAATCTACGGTGGGATCCAATAAAGTAACACGCACTTTTGGGGAAATCTAGCGACCCGCGGTGAATAACGCGCAACCCACCAAGCAAGGTCAATGGCGGGTGCCAAAGGTACCTTTGCTTCGAAAATACAACAACATATACTCCATTACAGCACCGTTCCGCGGATGGACACGCTTTCGCTGTTTGAGTTCTGGCTCACCCCTTGCCTTTGCCCCAGCACGCCTCCTCCTACTTGAGCGCCACCAGATGAGACAGTGACATACCTCGCGCGGCGCAATGGCCATGACGTGCTCACTCGGAGCTTCTCTTGTCACGTAAGCCACTCCAACCTGTGCCCCCGTTGCTTCTTGAGAAACACGAAAAGGGGTTCCAGGATGCCTTGAGGTTCCATAGGATTCCAAACGAATCGCCTGCGCCGCGCGGACATGCTTGCTATTTGTCGGTTTTGGCCCAAACCACTCAACCAGCTGGATTGGGAATATGTCTCAGGCTCAGCAAAGGACCGGAACTCCCGTGGTACGGGGAAACCGAGCTTCGCTGGGTTTTAGAACTGCTCACCTTAAGCGCGAAAAAGCAGAGCACAAGCGTGAAAACGTGCGCATGCGAGAATATGGCTAGCTGACAACTAGCTAACTCGCCAACTCTGGAACTAGCTAACTAAGCTGACAACAAGCTGGCTAGCTAACGAACTTACCTTCGAGCCAATTCACTAATCAGCCAGCAAACTAGCATCTAACTCGCAAAATAGCTAACCAGCTAACTAAGCCTCGCTGCCTAGATAACCAGCTAATTCACCAACTGGCGGACTTGCAAACTAGCTGGCGAACTAGCCGACTACCAAATTAAGCTGCTTACTTGCCAACTACTTAGCCAGCTCACTGAGCTAACAAGCAAACTAGCTATTTGCTGGCTCACCAGCTAGCGCCAAGCAACTATTTCCTCGACCCCATCCCCCCAGCCCCTCCCACCCCAGCCCCCACCCCCCCCCCCTCCCACCCCAGCCCCCGCCCCCCCCGCCGGCCCCGGCTTTTCCCCTCCCACTCGCCTCCGATCGGAGGCGTTGAAGCTGAAGGCGTCCAGCGAGCTGCGCTCCGCCGAGCGCGTGGAGGGCAGCTGCGTGGACTGCAGCTGGGAGTCCTCCGAGCGCCCAACACGCCGGCGGCTCTCGCGTCGTGTTTTGGGGGCGGCGTTTTTTCTGAAGAAACGGTTGGCTGGATTGGTGGGGTATGAACAAAATGGTTGCTTGAGTTTGGTGTCCTGAAGAAAATCGTTGGTTCAATTCGGTCCTGAACCAAAATGTGGGTGGGTGGGTGGGGGTGTGTGTGTGTGTGTGTGTGTGTGTGTGGGTGTTTTCCTTTCCTGTCCTGAAAAAATGGTTGGTGTGCTTTGGTGTGCTAAAGAATGGTTGGTTTGGGTTGGTGTCCTTAAGAACGGCTGGTTTGGTTTGGTTTTCTGAAAATGGTGAGTTGACCCTGATCTGGAAGTGGCAAACAGCTGCAGTGCGTCTCTATTGAAACCCTGACTTGGTTTCGAAGGCAAGCCAAAAAGAATGGTGTTCTTTGGGGAAGCCAAGGCAAATACCTTTCATGAAACGCATCCTTCTATCAAACCGTTCCTTTTGATGGAAAAGACACCAAACAAACAGGACACCAATGATGTCGGACGAGGAAGAAAGGGAAGTTAGGAGGAAACCGACGACTTTTGTATATGTATGTTTGTTATTTTATCTTGTTTGGGGAGGGGAAGAAGGCATGCACCATGCATGGCAATGGTTTTCTGTTGGGTTTCCTGTCAAACCACATCCATGTTGGAGTTGATCAGTCCACTGAAGTACGTGGGGTTCTTCCACCGCAAAAAAGAAGAAGAAGAAGAAAGACGCTTTTCCCCAAAAGGTGGGAGTTTGTTTTCCTGTACCCAGTTGCACGTCATTGGGCACCACAATCGGCAAGGCCGGCTTCCATTGGAAGACAATCCTCTTTCGGCTGAAGATCTTTGTTTCCCTTTCGGCTTTCTAACTTCTTATCATTTGGGAAACGCTGCGCAGGGACCGCGGCACCAAAAGGACGAGACAGGGCAAAGCCGTGTGCTTGATCCGTAGCTCAGGTCTCAGCTCATATGGGATGCTTCGGATCCAGTTGTCAAGTCATCCAAGCGGTGATGATTCTCAATAAGATCCTTTTCCTAAGCCGGAAAATAGGGATTGAAAAAGATGGTTCTTCGTCGGTGAGCTCGTTTTACCAGGTGATCTCGGTATGATTTGAGCGAATGATTGAGGTGTACATCCACTCTGTGAAGTTTCGGGCGCCTGGACTATCAGTGATGTTTTCAGGCATCTTTCAGCAGGTGAAAACATGAATGCAGGAGTTGAGGGCAATCTACTTGGAGGTCCTCTTCGTGGGATGACCAACGGTGATCAGCCGCATGCGTGAGCCATGCAGAAGACTCGCATGGGAGCCCGTCCCGCGAAAATCCTTTCGCAGGAGGAAACGTCTTGGATGTTTGGTGCGGCTCCTCCCTGCCATGCGAACATGTGGTTCGAATCAAACAAATGATAAGAAGTGAGACCAAACTCAAGCTGGTCATTCAGGGTGGCAGCTAACCCGGCGGGATCGGAACTTGATGCTGGCAAATCTTATTAAAATTCCAAAAGCTGAATTAAGGGATCCCCAAGTAAAGGACCTTTATCATGGTGGGCGCATTGTGCCCCCAGATAAGCTCGCTATAAAAAAAAAAAGGATATGCTGCCTCTGTCGTTGCCACTTGAAAACAGATGCACAATTTGGCGCGTGAGTGTTTCACAAGCGGAGCGGGCGGAATTGACACAAAGAAGCAAAAAAATGTCCGTGATAGGTTTTGCTTGATGCTTAGTGGATCCATCTTCTTCGCCGAAAGCACTCAGGTCCTGTGGCGAGGAGAGTTTGCCTTTCCTTGGAGGGCGACATGCTCAAAGGGTTTGCTCTCAGCAACATGGAAGCCGAATCGGCTGCAGCCACTACGTTTGCACTCGTGGCTGGACTTCCGGGCCAAATGCTCGCAACACGAGAAGCCAACACGAGCTGAGCATGCGAGCCCCGACCGAAGGACAAGGCTAACCGTCTAACCGTCTAAGAGTGCATTTTTCAAGGAGCACGGCCTGAGCGCCCCACGTCGCCATGGCTTCGCTTTGGAGCACCAGACGAAATAAGGTAAAAACGTCCAAACATTTCTGTCCCTTAAGCGGTGCTTTGGCTATAGAAAGAGTCCCCGGTGAGATGTGTCTATGATATGGCAGATCGAAGTCTGGTGGCTGCCTGCATCCTTCCGCTGGGGCCAAGATGTCAGTTCACTGTCAACCCGTCGCCTCCTAAATCGCGAGTGGCCCCAAGCAGGGGGGGCATGGTGTTTCGGGAGGGTAAACCCCTAAATTTGAGGGGAAAACGAAAACCCAAATCCATTTTTTAAAGCCGCCTTTGACACATAAGCTGGCAGCGACGAGCTTCTTTTCTTTTTCTTCGCCGCCAAGCGCGTCTTGCCTCGCGAGGGCAAAGCCGATGCGCAAGCGCTCACGGTCGTAGACGGTGTAGAACTTCCTGCAGCAATTTAGAGACAGACAGACAGACAGACAAACAGACAGACAAACAGACGGACGGACGGACGGACGGACGGACGGACCGACCGACAAACAGCCAGCCAGCCACCAGCCATGCCCCAACCCAGCCCAATTCGAACCAACGCAACCCACCCAACCCCAAACCAAATTAAAGAGCAACCAACAAGCAAACACACATTCAAGCCGGCGCAGCCCAGCAATGACTCTCCAAATCCACAAATCCAGTCCCGCCGGGACTCCCCGCCGCTTACGGCCGTCTCCGCCAAAAATATGCGGGCGCCGCACAGACGTGTCATGGCATGGTCGCCAAGTTCTGCCCACGTTCTCTGCGCAAGGTTCTCTGCGCACGCTTTCTGCAAATGTTCCACGCAAATTCTCTGTGCAAGGCTCTCTGCGCAAGCTGCTCTGAGCATTTGTTTTGCGCAGCTTCGCTGTGCAAGTCTTTTCTGTGCCAGATCTGCACGCAAGTTTGCATCTACAACTTCTCTACTCAAGTTTCTCTTCGCAAGTTGCTCACTGAAAGCTTTCTTCGCACATTTGTTGTGCGCAAGTTCTTTGCGCAAGTGTTCTCTGCGCAGGGTCTCCGCGCAAGTTTCTCTGCGCAAGTTCTTTGTGCAACTTCCCTGCGGTCTCTACGCAAGTTTGTCTGCAAGTTATCAACACAAGTTTCTCTGGCAAATCCTCGAAGCAAGTGTCTCCGCGCTGAATTCTCTGCGCAAGTGTCTCGCCAACAACGAGACAACGTCCGAAGACTCATTCGTGAGGAGCAACATGAAGGAAATAAACACTGATTTTGCGCATCCGGGTCGCGATTACGGAGAGCTGGTTCGGTCTTGCCGCGCCTCCGTAAAAGACTACTTGAAATTTCCAGCGCAGATTCTTGCTCCAAAGCTCTGTGTCATCTTTCTGCGTGCGTACACAAAGAAACTTCATGTGATATCCCGCATGTAATCGAAGGAGAGAACCTTTGCGCAGCTCTCTGTAACATCTCAGCGTGGCATCTTATGTGCGATCACAAGACCATATATTCGCAACTCTCTGTAACATCTCAACACAATATAATATCATGTATAACCACATAACATCCCTGCGAAACGATCTGTAACACCTCAAACGTGATATCTCATGTGTGCGCACGAAGTAAGACCTCCTCGCAGCTCGCTCTCTCTCTGCGCAGTGCTTTCGGGAAAGCTCAACCCCTCAACCCCCTCAACCCCCCTCAACCCCCCTCAACCCCCCTCAACCCCCCTCAACCCCCCCTCAACCCCCTCCCCCCTCAACCCCCCCTCAACCTCCCCCCCTCAACCCCCCTCAACCCCCCTCAACCCCCCTCACCCCCCTCAACCCCCCTCAACCCCCCCCCTCAACCCCCTCCCCCCCCCCTCAACCCTCAACCCCCCCTCAACCCCCCCTCAACCCTCACCCCCCCCCAAACCCACCCACCCAACCCCTTGACCCCCAACCTCCCGTTCAAAAACTCGAAGAAGAACCCCCCCACCACACCCCCCACACCCCCCCCCCCCTCCCCCCAAATCCAAGGTCTCCTCAAGAATGGCTCCCCAAGCAGCAGCAGCGGGCCGTGAGGCCTCGGCACCTCCACTGCCATGAGCTGCAGCTCCTGCAGCTCATCCAAATAAAACTCCGGCTCCAGCTGCAGCTCCAGGTCCACCTCCTGACGTATCTTCTTGGTTGCTCCGCAAAAAATAAAGAAAAAGAGAACGTCTGCGAAAAATGGACAGAACCCCCCCAAAAAAAAAAAAAAAAAAAAACTTGCCAAGAACAGTGAAGGTCCCTTGAAGGTCCCTTTTCTTGCTGGTGCGATGGGTAGGTAGCCAGGTAGGGAATGAATTTCCGAGTGTGGGTGGGGGGATTCGCGAATAAAGATCGGATGGATGGTGTTTTCTTGGGGTCATTCCATTTCTCAGGGCCCTCCTGAGAACCAGCAAGAGTTGGAAGGACAAATGTGGCTTTTCACTACTGGCTTTTTGCTTAGGGCTGGCAACCACCTGGACCACATCCACGTAGGCAAAGAGCGGTTTTCGCTGGCTTGGATCTGATGGAGGGCGAGCCAGTCTTGGTGGACTCACTTAACCACAGCTGCGTTTCTCAAACGAAAAGACTGGTTCGGATGGGCTGTTTTTCGGGAAACCACAGCTTCCCTCCAATTGGTGGTTTGGTGGTTGGTGGTTAAGGGGTGGTTTCCCATGTGCCCTCTACAAGACTCAGGGGTTCAAATCCCCACGTGTTTAAAGCCCCAAGAGGCTGGCAGGGTTAGGGGGATAGGGACGCCAAGTGGCTTGAAGATTCGCTGGTGTATACTGTGGATGGACGAAATCCATTTCGCACCACCTAAGAAACCTTGGAATGATTCGATTCCCCAACATAAATACCAACAAACGTTATGGTTTCCATTGGTGTCAAAGTGGTGCAGGATTTCGTCCATCCACACGGTAGTGGCTTCACGAAAATGCCACAAGCGACAGCTCAAGCGGCGCGCTGGAGCACAATCGAGCCCACCCTTTGGCCTTCAAACACCCCCCATTCCCCCCCTTCTATTGGCAACCTGACATGGACTTACTTCGAGAAACTCGAAGGGAAAAAAAAAACTTATTGGTATCGAGACCCACCTGGCGAGGGCCCCCTTCATTCCCCCCCCTCCCCCCTTCCCCCCCCTCCCCGTCCCCCCTACCGCTTCCGGCGCCTCCAGGCGGAAGCCCAGCACCGGCCGCCGGCCGTCAGCTCCGGGCGCCAGACGCTGCGCCAGCTGCCGCGCCAGGCGGTTGGGCGCCGCCAGGGAGGAGGTGCCCGAGTCCAGGGCCGCGCTGCAGCCCCGGAAGGAGCCTCTTTCGGTTTTCCCCTCGAGTCGCGAGCTCGAGTGCGCCAAACGAGCGCCCAAGCGAGCGAAAAATCCGCGGCGGGGGTCTTCGTTTTTTCTATGTTGAGCCACACCCGTTTCAGCGGAAGCTGCGGCTTGTGCAAAACCCGCGTTCTGGGTAGTTTGCCTGTTGTCCCCCTCTCTGCGTAGGT